ATGCTCGAATCCCGATTCTTTTTTTTTACTGAAAAAACGTGCGCTTCAAAAATAAGAAATCGAGCCCCCCCTCACGAAAAATTATCTGTTTCTTAACCGGCGCTGTCGCTGTACTAGTACTAATAGTGCTGCTGCTGGCGGTGTTGGTAACGGTGCTGGTGCTGGGGGCGGTGGTGGTGCAGGTGGCGGCGGTGGCGGTGGAGGTGATGCTTTTCAGGGTGGCGGTGGCGGTGGTGGCGGTGGTTGGTGATGCTGCTTCTGTTGGGTTTCCTTGAGGCTTAGGGTTTAGGGTCGAAGTCTTCGGGTTTACAAACCAAGTGGGTATCATGACCTACGTGTTTTTGCAGGGTGGCCATAAACCCAAGAGTCGGGTTTTGCCGAGTGAGTAATAAGACACAACAAAAAAGGCGGCTCTCATTATCGTAGTTGGAAAGTTGAACGCAGTTAGGAATCATGGGGTACGTAACCTAGCACGTCCCTGAGGCAACCTCGCTTTCGGATCCAGGCTATCGTGCGGTTTGGGGTTTGGGGCTTAGGGTTTGGGGTTTAGAAATCAAAGGAAGTACAGCTCACAAAGATAATGGCCGTAGTGCAGCTCCGCAAAGCAAAAAGAACATGTGCCTGGTATCATGGCATGACAAGGGACGCAAGAGGCTTCAGGGAAAAGAGATACCCGGGCTATATGAGCAAGAACGAAACTGGAAACTCTCGACAAAATTGCTTCGAAGGCTAGCACCGGCAGCTTTCGGAATCACCTACTAATACCACAAGAAGAGGATACTAATCATTTTCACCCCACTCGAAATACAGTGCAGCTGCGCTAATAGAAAGCTTGCTCAACAGCGCGTAGACTCCTGCTGTGAGTTGCACGCCGCCAGCCATTACAACCAAAGTTGATGCCATGACTGCGTAGACTGTGATCAAGACCGTCGGAAAAAAGATCTCGTCCATCAGCGGCAGGTAAACGGTAAAGTATCCACCAACATTCAGAAGCAAGCTCTCAACTAGTTCCTCCGCAGACCCACGCAGAAGCAATGGAAACAGATAGAATACAACGACCATGTAGAACATGACAATCCTTCAGGAAGCATCCATCCCGGTGACAGGATGGCGAAACATGCATATAGGGTTGAAGGGTTAAGGTTCAGGGTCTTGTATGGAGGCCCGAAGCGTTGCTATGCCAAAACCAATAACAAGCGATCACCTCTACCTGCAAGTGGTTTAGCGTCCAGGGTGTAGAGGTCTGGAGCTGTCCAAGACTCAGAAGCAAGTTGCTTGCGTGAGCATCGTGCCAGAACAAAGGGATGTTGCTTTCCAGCTGGGATCGGCAGTGCCAACCCAAGTAAAGGGCGACTGGCAGCAGCACCATATTGACAAGTCCTGGGTTTGCAAAGAAAAGGATCCTTGACCTGATTGGTGGTGACCCTTAAGCCCAGAAACCCTTGAGCCCGTAAGCCCAAAACGCTTAAAGCCCCGAAAACCCTTAGAGCCCTACACCCTTAAAGCCCTAAACCCCCAAAC